TCTTTCCCTGTACATTAATCTCTTCTGCTCTATGGCGTTAAACCAAAGAAACAACAACCATTTACTTTGGAGCCTGTTGAAACATGAAGTTCTGAGCCTCTGGCAAAGATAAGTAATAATTCTGCAAAGTTTCTTTAAAAAAAAAAAAAGGGTTGTTTTCTAACTGTTCCTTGTCAGATATTGTTTGTTTGTTACCAACTTTGTCAAAGAAATGAGCCTGTTGCTTCTGACCTTATTTTAGCCCTTCTTTAAGAGGTGGGCATCTCATGAATGTGTGTTGTGATCCAACAGATCTTGTTGTTTCAGTGTCGATAGATAAATCCCTGTAGGAAAAGAAAAAGCCCTCATTGTAGCGAGGGAGAGATTTTCCGATAGAGCTTGCATCTTTGTAGGCAAGAAAAGAAATCTCCTGACTCTTAAATGATGAGGAAAGGAAAATAATCCCTTAAAACGAGTGGTGTTTTGCTGGAGTAATGAGGCTGATGAGTCCTGGGGGGTATCTCTTACTGAGGGTGACACAAGGGAAGCACAAAATCCCCAGCAACAGGATGGGGGACAGCACGGTAAACGGTGATAATAAAATGGCCTGACCTCAGCGATGGCAAAATACTGCGAAAATCTGAGCACAAAGTAGCCCAGAAAAGAGTTTGGGATTTTTGTCTAATGGGGAACGGTGTCGCTTACCACTTAACATAGGAGTGAGAGAACTGGGTTAAGGAAACCTGATCGGGTGGATGGCCATGGTGGTTTCAGGCTTCCCAGCTTGATAAGGAGGTCAAAGTCTCTTGTCCAGCTTGTCCTGAGTGCTTCCTCAGAAGGACAAATCCACCTGAAGTTGTTAATAGTCCATCTTTTCAGTAAAATGACAAACTCCAGCTCAGGCAGCCACTGTGCCACACCAAACTGGAGGGGAAACAAATGAGTATCAACTGTTTGGGGGTAAAATAAGGGGGAATAGTTCAGGCTGTGATATGATCTGAGTTCTGTACTGCCTTAGGTCAATCTTAATTTGAAGTTTTCCATTTAAATTCTTTCTTTGGCCTGGCCCAGGGTATCTGTAGAGCAAGGTGGGTTTCAGGGCATTACTCTTTTGATTAATGCCATGTGTATATTTTGAAAGTGAAGCTGTTCTCATATTCCACCTGTCTTTTGGGAACAACAAACATCTGTAGATTGCACTGCCAGATAATACTGAACACTACTTGGATGGGATAGATACCTGACAAAAATGATTACTGTGGTATTTTGCACCGTAGCTGCCCGTTTGTCTCACTTGCAGTACTGTGATGGTACAAGCTTGATAAAATGCTTCCAGAACAGATCTTTGATTTGGATAGTACCATGGCAGCTATGCTCAATACACAACCAGATATGACTGAACGTTGTGTCACCTGTGTAAGTCCAGAACAGAGAGACCAAAATTATTGCTGCTATCCCCGTTCAAATGGCTTTTCAGATGGCAGTGTTGTCATCTTCCAGTGATTTTGTGAAGCTGTAATGACCTTTCTGGGAGATGAGCAGCGGTGTGGGGACACCAGCGCTTGCAGGTGAAAGTAGTAATCACCGTGATGAGTGGTTTGAATATCTCATAAGTTCTTGAAGGTTGTAGGATCAAATTAAATATTGAATAGGGGTTTTTTAAACTCCTTAACTTGCTCATGTTCCTCAGTCATCCCTCTTCCAAAACTGGAAAACCAGAGCTATCCATCTTCCAAACAGGTGGAACCTGAGCTAAAGATGAGCACTACAAACAGATAAGAGATGTCATGTGCAGAGGAGAGAGAAAGAAAGGGCTATTAATATTAAAAGGCAAAGACGTAGGTGTCTTCCTGGCAGAAGAAAGAAGTGATCACAGTTATGCCACAGCTCAGGAGAATGAGGAACACTGCCTCCTGCCAGCCCGGAGCTGGTACCTGTCAGCTGCAGGCAGTGGTTGTAAAAGGCAGAACAGTCATTACTCGTGTGTGAAGTTAGTGTGGGTATGATTTATTTATTTTTGACTATGATAGGATTGAAGTAGCGTGCTTTCGGGATCTCTCTCTCTCTGGAGTGTTGTGATAATGTTGCTGCTGAACATAAATCTCAAAGCTCGGATCACTCCGTAAAGGAGATAAACAGAGAATGTACGGGCTGTACTAAAGAGGAGGCTACCGTTAAGATTCCTGCTTAAGAGCTTCTCTCAGTCGTAAAGAATATTGTGTGGTTGGGTCCTTCGCTCTTCATTTGAGTGAAACCCAGAGCCGGGGTTTGCCAAAGCTGAGCAGAAACATTGTACGTTGTGCTGGCCTACAATTTGCAAAGCTTCTACCTTAAAAATAAAATAAAGATAAGAAGTGATGCGGCACCACACAAACAGGCCATCGCTGTCCTTTTAGTGCTTGTTCAAAGTGTTACGTGCAGTCTTCTTGAGCAGTGGAGCAGCAAAACGTAAAAAAAACCCCAATGTCACGAAGGGCAGCATGAGAATAGCAAAGGTGCTGGGCTTGTGTGCACATCCCTGAGCCCGAGGAGCTGCCGTGTGTTCAGCTGATGCTGCTCAGCCGGTTTCTCTCCCCTAATTTGCAAAGCCCAGGACCTCTAAAAGGTAAGCTGCTCAAAACGTATTAACTTCATTTCTGTCATAAGGGAAGTATTTTATGCATTAGGGTAGGAATTTTTCTCTAAGCTGGGTAATCCTGGTGTCTTTAAAAACCAAACAAAAAAAAGAAGCCCTGAAAACACCACTATGGCACGGTTATTATTGTAGATTAAAGAATATCTTGTTTGTTAGCATGAAATTACCAGCTTGATCAATTAAATAAAAAGCATACAATTCTTATAGCCTGGGAAACAAGAGCCTGATGCTCTGCAGTATTTTCAGTGTGAAGTCAACTTCCACAATAACAAACGGGAAGTGGAGCGTGCAAAATAATTACATTTATCAGTGACATCCTTTTTGTGTCTTTCTTGAGAAGGAGGTGGGGTGTGTGCTGCTAAAGGTTTAACTTTCTCCAAATGGCTGTTTTGATGGGTTTTATGAGCTCATTCCCTGCCCAGTCTCTGGCTGGGGTGTGGGGACATCTGCTGCCCAGCCCTGAAAGCTGGCTTGGATCCACTTGTGGAGGGTGCTAATTATAACGAAGCAATCTTGGGCAGAGTAGTACTGTAGGATTAATCTTTTTTTCCCCTAATGGTCAAGTCCAATGCAGCCTTTTCTGGAGATTCTCCATTTTTTGTAGTTATTTCTGTATAAAGTAGCTGCAGGTGGTGTAGAAAGAAACCATTTGTCTGGTATTTTCCACCGTTAACTTTTAACTTTGTGTGTGCAACTGCTTTGTCTGCACTGAGTTAATGGAGTGTCCCGGATCACAACTGCGTATTTGGAGCTGGGTTTGGCTCCAAAAACAATGAAGTTGGTGAGGGCTGCCTGGAAACTTGGGTCTTCCTCACAGTAGTGAGTCTCAGACGTCTTGACTGCAAAGAATCTGTGGTAGGAAATTGTCATCTTTGGGGAAGGGGTTAATAGCAGCTTGGATAATAATCCCTTGATGTTATCTGTGCAAGGTTGATCTGGCACTGGGGTATGGGGAAGGACTTGGCTGATCCTTAAGGTCCCTACCTGTGCTCTCCTAATTCTGTTTCATACAACCTTTGTGCTGTAGAAAGAAGAAGTGGAAGATAACAGCGACGCAATCATGGAAGGGGCTCTGATAGCCCGGGACAGAGTTGGGGTGCAGGACTTCGTGCTTCTGGACTCCCACACCAGCGAGAACGCTTTCCTGAACAACCTCCGCAAGCGATACCAAGAGAACCTCATCTATGTAAGTGCTGGTCGTGTGGGCATTTTTTAAGCAGCCCTGAGGTTACAGCAGTGGTAAGTAGTATCTAAACACGGGCTTTGTCAAATGAGGACTGATATCTGTATAACACTAATGGAAAAGAAGGGTCAAACAAGGTGGTTTTATGTGCTGAAATTGTGTACAAATAAGGCAAAATATAATGTGTCCCAAAAGATGTTATTTGCTCATCTTTCACAGCCAGAAAGGCATTTTCTCTGTTGAATAGGCATCCTCCTTGGCTTTCCTTCGCAGCTTTAGTTACTGGGCACTTCCAAAGTTTTTGTGAAACAGAGCTGGATAGTGCATTATTATGTTAACCTTAATCTAAGCAGGAAAAATTCCCATAAGCATCGTGAGATACCAAAAACTTGTGTCTAAAATGTAAGGCTTTAACCTTGCTGTTATTGTTCAACTCAGCAGGGTAGGTTTTGGAAGAATTTTGGTATTGGCTTTGAAATAGTGGAGGTTTGTTGGTTTAATTTTTTTTTTCTTCCCTCGTAAGACATTCTGTACCATCTTTTCCAGTTGTTATTGCGTAATGTCCTGATGTACCTGGCTCCTCTCTTGGGAGCCATCATTTCCCACTTGTATGCGTTCTTTCTCCCTGCAGACATACATTGGTACTCTTCTTGTGTCTGTCAACCCTTACAAAGAGCTGGATATCTACACAGTGACACAGATGCAGCTTTATCGAGGGATAAACTTCTTTGAACTGCCACCACATCTGTAAGTAGGACCCGTAGGATTACAGTTTATGGTAACAAATGGAGTTTTCTCTGTAATGCTGCATACCAGCAATGAGGGTGCATATCCACAGTCACGGGGTCTGGTGAATGGAATCAAAACTGGCTCCTCTGCTTTGAAAGAGGGAGTCCCTGCTGTATATAAACTGTATTCACCAGCCTGAGTAAATCCTACAGTGGGAAAAGAACAGGCTTTATCTGACTCTCAAATACAGACTGGGCTTTCACTTTGAGAGCTCAAGTCAGTCTCATATTTTGAGCTCATCTTTCCATCGTGCCCTATACTCGTAACGTTAGATGAGGAGAAAGTACTTAAAAAAAGCCTTTGATACTCTGCCTCCTATTGCCATTTCTAATGGATCCTTCTCCTCTGAATACTTCTTGTGGTCCTGGTTCAGATATGCCATAGCTGACAACGCCTACCGGGTGATGTGCAGCGAGTACAACAACCATTTCATCCTCATCTCTGGGGAGAGCGGAGCTGGGAAGACAGAAGCATCCAAGAAGATCTTGCAGTATTACGCAGTAACCTGCCCAACCACGGAGCAGCTGCAGATCGTCCGTGACCGTCTGCTGCTTTCCAATCCTGTTCTGGAGGTAAAAGTGAAATAAAGGTACAAACTGCAGAAGAGCTGGCACGCTCTTGTGGCCTCACACCACAAGACTTGCCTGCAAGTCTACACATGCCCTCAGAAATGGCCTCCTGCACCACACGATTTTGTGCCTGCATACATAACAAGTAATAACATATATTTGGCCTCTCAGCAGCACAACCTCTGAAAAAACGTGTGGGATTTAGTATCACTTACTGTTTAGAGATTTAAACTTGGGTTTTACAGTGGAGGATAGCTGAAACCTGGGAGTACAAGGCAACTGTACACCATGCCACAGTTCCTCATGGCATTGGTTACAAGTCATGCAAGAAAGAGAGATAATTTGTTTAGCTGAACTCCTCGTTAAAGCTAGGGGAATACATTGGTTTGTGTTTCTTTAATCCCACTAAATGCAGTAGTAGGACTCAGCTGATGCAGCAAATCTTTATTACTGGAGCTTTGTCCTGTCATGGGTGCCAGATTCTCAGTAAGATGGCAAGTGACCTAATCTGTCTGTTTATCCATAGGCTTTTGGAAATGCAAAAACTCTGCGTAATGACAACTCGAGTAGATTTGGGAAATACATGGATATCCAATTTGATTTTAAGGTGAGAACAAACTTAATGGACTGCTATTAAAACGAGCTGTATCAGTGAACCTCTTGGACACTTACCAGGCAGCACAGGATTTATTAAGACTTACACTGCAGATTTCTGACCCTGTTTTTACAGGCCTTGCATTTTGTGAGTAAGGTGATTAGTTATACGTCCTGAAAGCTTCCTACATTCCTGGCAATACTGCCAGTGCTCGGTGGAAAGCTAAAATAAATTGTTGTAAAGCACAAGTTACCCTAGAAAGACAGCAGTCTTTAGATGGAGCTTGTACTGCTTGTTGGGCACTAACTCTTAAAAAAAAGATGGCAGATAGGTAACCTTCTCGTGTGGAGGAGCAGCCATCACAAGGTTATTTATATCTGGTGGTGTTGATTTGACTGTTTTGTTCTGCCAGGGAGCTCCAGTGGGAGGGCACATCCTCAGTTACCTCATTGAGAAATCCCGAGTTGTCCATCAAAACCACGGAGAGAGGAATTTCCATATTTTCTACCAGTTGTTAGAGGGTGGAGACAAGGAACTTCTCAGCTGGCTTGGGCTGGAGCGCAACCCCCAGAAGTACACGTATCTCATCCAGGTCAGTGGGAGATGGCTGTAAGCTCAAGCTCTTCACAAGACTTAGCCATTTTATGGTAATCAGTACCCAAGCCCAATGCGTTTTCTGCAGCTTTAAGTATAAGCTGTGAAAGATCTGCTCAAATGAGCCACTTTCAGTATTAGCAGGAGTGAAATAACCTTGCGAGGTAGCTGCAGACTGCATCTATACAGGATGAGGAAACTGGAAATGGAAGTAGTATGCCCAGTAGTGTGCTCTGTTTGTTGCTGATAATAAAAGTGCTTTGCCAATGAACTGTACTAATTAATCTTTCTTTTACTGTATAGGGTCGATGTGCCAAAGTGTTTTCTATTAATGACAAGAATGACTGGAAAATAGTCCGCAAAGCTTTTTCTATAATTGACTTCACTGAAAAAGATATAGAGGTATGAGTGTTAAAAGGGACTGCACCCACCAGAGGGAGTTTCAGTAAGGAGTGTGCTGCTGTCTCTCCCCAAAAGTGATGGCAACAGTCTTGCTTGGGAGAGCTGTTAAGGATGGAATAGGACATCATTTTGAGGGGAACTGAGGGTGTGGGTGGGTGAAAAACTCTATCCCTTGGTACAGCGCAATGGCAACCGGCGTTAGCAGATTTTCTGACTCCCCTCCTTCAGCGTAGCCAATACTGTGTTTATTAGCATGCATAGGAGAGATCAGTGCCGCCCCACAGAGCTGTGGGAGCCTGTTTCCTAATGCTCTGTCTCTCGTTATTAGCATCTCTTTGGAATTGTTGCTAGCGTCCTGCACCTTGGGAACATTCAGTTTGAAGAAGATAGCAATGGACATGCCATCATTCGCGACGGCACGCAGATCAAGTGGATTTCAAAGGTATCCTGCTCTTCCCAGATAATGTCAGTGTTACAAGTGCTGTGAAGAAAGCCTTAACTTGGTTGTGTTTTCCTCTTAAGGACAAAAAATACCTGTTCCCAAGAGCAGAAGGATTGCTATATAAATACCCAGCTCTTGCTATAAATTACCTTGGGTTGTATGACCCCTTTTTCACAGTGACAGCATGCTTGGACAAGTGGCAGCATCTCTCTGAAACTTCCTTGCTTGTTGTTGCTCAAAGATGAGTACACCCAAGAGATCTACCAAGGCTGGCACCCCCCTGAAATGAATGGGAATGGACTGAGGGTTATGCCCTACAAAATGCTGCTTATTTGAGCAGTCTTCTGCTGACCATACTCTGAGTGCAGCTATTTCTTTCTCTGCAGCTACTGGGTGCACACTTGTCCATTCTGCAGGAAGCTCTCACCCATCGGAAGATCGAAGCCAGATCCGAAGAGGTATTGGGGAGTCCCGGGTAACCCCAGGCAGCTGGGAGCCACCCATGCTGGCATTGGTTAAGGATGAGGAGCTCTGTTTCTAGCACTGTTATAGTAAAAGCAGGTCACTCTGGCTATCTCTCTCCTCTGTATAATCTTCCCTGTTCTAGTCTTAGATGTTAAACTAAAACATATTCCCATTGGAGTTTTTCTGCTGAACAAAAAGCTAGGAACAGGGACTTGCAGGAATCCTGTGTTTGAGCAAAATAATTACCTTTTGCTCAATTCCTGGAGTGCTTCCTGGGAAACTGGGCTGAATTAACAAAGAAAAAGCACTGGTAAAAGCTGTTCTTTGAGCATTTTGTGCCAAGTTTAATAAAATGAATCTCAAAGGAAGTCAGAATACTTCCTCCAACTTGTCTAAACTGGTACTTTCCAAAATGTAGTATCACAATCCTGCTGGCGTGTGGCCGCACACCAGGCTGAAGTAGCACTGATGGTAAAGCTGTAGGCAGCTACGCTTCAGGTAGGCTGAGCACTGTGCTGTGGTATGCAACAACACGGCTGGTTCTCCAAGCCACGAGTGTGAACTGGTTTGCTCTGATCACCTGTGGTGTTTAGACTCACAGAATCACAGACCGTTAGGGATTGGAAGGGACCTCAAAAGCTCATCCAGTCCAATCCCCCTGCCGGAGCAGGAACACCCAGATGAGGTTACACAGGAAGGCGTCCAGGCGGGTTTTGAATGTCTGCAGAGAAGGAGACTCCACAACCTCTCTGGGCAGCCTGGTCCAGTGCTCTGTTACCCTCACTGAGAAGAAGCTTCTTCTTAAATTTAAGTGGAACCTCCTGTGTTCCGGCTTGTGTCCACAGCATATTTTCATTTTTAGGTCCTAAGCCCACTGAACGTGGATCTGGCATTCTACGCTCGGGACGCAGTAGCAAAGGCAATTTATGGACGAACTTTCACTTGGCTTGTCAACAAAATTAACGGCTCGCTAGCCAACAAGGTTGGTTTCTTGTCTTATGTCCTCCTCACACACTGAGCAGAGCTTCTTCGCTGAGGCCCTACAGCGCTCACCACTGATTAGCCTGAATGCTTCATACCTGATGGAGGGGCATCCCCCAGCACTGAGTTAGGTGTGGGAGGTGGTGTGTGAAATAGTTTTAGCAGCTCATTACTGGTTTTATAGTGGCTACTCTGTTGGTGTGCGACAGGAAGATCTCAAAGAGGAAGTTTAACGTTTAGGTGAAAGAAACACCTCGTGAAAGGTGAATTTAGGGGAAAGAAGCTCCTTCCTCAGGGAGGAAACAGCAGTTACAGAGCAATGGTGTCTTTAACAGGATTCAACTCGGAAGACGGTTATCGGCCTGCTGGATATCTATGGTTTTGAAGTGCTGGACACAAACAGGTAACAACAGCTCCTAAGGCATGGGTTAATCTGTCCTCATGCTGGGAGGGGCATGTGCTGAAGTCCTGCATGGCTTCTGGAATATTCTCTTATTTGCGAAATCGGAGTGTTCTGGGTTAGCAGAGCCCCCTGGTGAAAGCTCAGACTGCTCACTTGGATTTGAGCCATTGGTGTGACAGTGTGGGACGAACGCATGGATTTGATCTGCACCAAAGTGGGCTGTTGGGCTGGAATACAGTAGGTGGTGGTGGAGAAGTAAAATTGTCCACGAAATAACTGAAAACTAATGCTCATTTGACCATTCTGAAGCTTTGAGCAGTTCTGCATTAATTACTGCAATGAGAAGCTCCAGCAGCTCTTGATTGAGATGACCTTGAAAGCAGAGCAGGAGGAATATGAACTGGAAGGAATAGAGGTAATTTATTATTTTTCTCTTATTCTGTGAACTGCAGTTACAATGCAAGCTTTTGATAATCAATGAAGAAGACATCCTGCTTTGGTTTTAGTTTGCATTGTTCACGTGGGAAGTATAAGATAGCCACAGGTCTCATTCTGTAACCCTTTTTGGAGTATAATTCAGCTTAGACTTAATTTAAATCATCTGAGAAAGGAGCAGGACATTCCCCAAAACTCAGAAAGTCAGCAGTGACGGCGTCCTTGTAGAAATGAGCAGCTCCAACAGTGTAGACACTGGAAGATGAAGTGCATTAATGCAGACAACAAGAGGGTGGGCTGTGCTGCTGAGAGCAGGAAGGCTGTAGTGAGGAGTGATGGATCACTCTGCTCTCACTTCTTCTCCAGCAGCTCTGTTGGTCCGAATTGACTTTACTGGGGTTGGAGGGAGCCTGGCTCCAAGGAAATTAAAAACTGCAAGGAAAAGATCTTCGTCTCAAACTTTTCTTCTTTATTTTTTCCATCTTATTTCCAGTGGGAGCCAATTCCATATTTTAACAACAAGATCATCTGCGACTTGGTTGAGCAGAAGCATAAAGGAATAATCTCCATTCTGGTAAGAACAGAGTTTGTGTTACTTAAATTAAAATGCCTGGGCCCTACTGTACCAGTCCATAATCACATTTTTTTCATACAGTTATGTGGTTGTTCTGCATTATTCAGAATACAAACAAATAGACCTTGCAAACAAACACCCAGAAGATTAAGGTAGAGGATCTCTTTGCTAGATTGCTGTGGGTTTTAAAGGCAGTATGCTGCTTCCACAGCAGCCCTGAGTGCTTGAAGGCAGACCAGGGCCGTTCTCTCCACCTTTTTCCTGGAGGCACTGAGACAAAAAGAATGTACCCACAGCAACCTGGCTGGCTATAGCCTGCAGCAGGGATGGACCCAGGTGTCTTCTGAGTACCATTAGGGAGACTGCAGAACACCAGGAGTGGTTCTTCATTGCACTAAATGTTAGTGAGGAGGGAGCAGTGTGTTCAGAGCAGCGTTTGATCGGGTGTCTGCTGTTCCAGGATGAAGAATGCTTACGCCCTGGTGAAGCGACTGATCTGAGCTTCTTGGAAAAGCTGGAAGAGAAAGTAGGAGATCATGCCCACTTCGTGACGTATGCATTTACGCTCTGTATCCTATCACAGAGGAAACTCTTCCCATCTCTTACCCATGACAGAGTACTGGGGAGGGAACAAATTTGCTTTGTACCACAGAAAATCAATCAGCCTGTCCACTGTCTAATGTTGTAATGAGCTACACTGGTGGAGTATGACCTGGGGCATCGGCGAGGTGGTGGGGAGGGTTCCTGTCTCTTCTCTAGTCAGATGCTGATCTTTGAGCCTGGTTTCATTCCACACTAAAATTAAGGACTCATCCTGTAAAGGTTAGATGGCTTTGGCCACAGGTGGCTTTGTCCCCCACTGTGAAGAAAAGCCTGATGCCCCAAGCTGTGAGGGTACATAACTATTTTTCGAGTCCATCTTGATATGTGTGAGCTTTATGTGTGAAGAGGGAAGAAACACGCTCCTCCTTGATCTGTCAGACAAGTGGCATTTTGGTTAATACTCAATTTGTAGCACTTTTGGATTCCGTTTTGGTGGCAGATGAACACGCTGGCGCTGGGCTGTTTTGGCAGCTCCCAGCAGAAGCCAACGGAAGGGCTCTGACAAGTCATCAATTCGCAGCCGCGCTGCTGAATTGTCACCGTTTCTACATCTCTCAAGTTCATCACAGCCAAGTGGAAAATTTGTAGCCAACTTTCTTGTCACCACAATGTGCCTTAATACCGTTCTGCCTGATTAAAGCTTTAAATAGAAGTGCTAGAGCTACTTAAATGGGATCTGTACTTGGCGATGCTCTTGGAAGGAAACTTTGATGTACTAATGTGCTGTTGTGACACACAGCTCTGCTGTTAGTGACTGCTCACAAAGCTGAAACTTAAACTGTTAAGTTGCTCTTTTTTTCTTTCTTTTTTTCCCCTTTCCCCAGGAGTCCTTGCTTTCTAAAATTTTCCTGCTATTCTTGAAAATTTCGAATCCTCCTTTGTATTTGGGTTCTTGTTCCAGGGCAAAATGTCTCAAACAATCCTTCCCCCTCACACTGAAACTGAGGTAGCTGACGAGCTTTTTCTCATATAGGCAATGAAAATACATTTAAATGAATGTTGTAGGCAGAAATCTTAATGTTTCTGGAAAGGGTGATCATTGCTAAATGGCAATGGAGAGGTCACAGATATTTCAAGGAGTTTATGGTAGCTGACTTCCATTCTCCAGCACTGAATTTCGCTGTTAGCTGCTCAGAAGGGACAGATAGAGGATAATTTGATTATGGGCCATAACTATATAGGCAGAGCCATGTTGACATTTCAAACATTAAATAGATTTCCAGCTCTCCTAAGCTGCTTTTTGAGGAGGTGACCATGTACAAGCTGAGAAAGCCCATTTGCTGCTTTTTCTCATTATTTACTTCTTTTTTCCCTGCAGTCGCAAGCTTGCAGACCAGAAAACACGGAAATCCATTGATTGGGTGGATTTCCGCCTGCTTCACTACGCAGGAGAAGTCACTTACTGTGCTGTCGGTGAGTGCCAGTCCAGAAGCTACCTGAGCTTTTAAGCCAGTGTGGTAGATGATAACTTGATGTGAAGATGAATTACACAATATCTGCCCTTCAAAGTACTGTTACTTGGAAGTCTTAAACATTAATTCAGTGTGAATTTTGAGGATATAAATTTCCAGACTTTGTGTTAAAGTGTGTAGCCTCCAAAAAGAATTAAACCTTTTTATTATTCTCCTTCCTTCAGGATTTCTGGAGAAGAATAATGATCTCCTGTACAGAAACCTGAAAGAGGTAAGAACCAAAAAGGGATGCTTGTTCGTTAAGTTATTTTGCTTGAAGCAGAGATGTTTTGCAGAAGATTTATTTAGTCTCTGTAGCAAACAAGAACATGCATTTCTCCTTAGCAATATTCTTCAGGCACCCACGTGCACATGCTTACAGCTGCACTGCTTAGGAGCATCACAGTAGGAATAGCACAGCTGCTAAATAAGGCAGCTTTTCATTTCTCCTGTTTCAGGTGCTGTGCAACTCTAAAAATGGCATCATTAGAGACTGCTTTTTACTATCAGAACTCGACAACAGGAGGAGACCAGAGACTGTGAGTTTCATCTTTAGTCTTAGATTTTAATATAACCTCAACTTCCCAAACCTTGATTTAACCACTGATCCCATCCTTAGCCCTGAATTCGGTGAATTTTTTTGCTGATGTTACACCCCTGCTAGCTTCCTACCAGTTTAACAGTGGTGTTGCTGAGACAGCAGCAAGCCAAATGACATACCTTAATGTTGTTATTAATGCATCCTCCTAAAACGAGCCCTGTGCCTAGCATCCAGCAGTAGTTGGCTTCTGAAGGGCTGCCTTGCGTGTCCAGCTGCATGGCAGAGGTTCAAATATTCCAGCTAAGCACTCTGTCCAGTTAACATGGTTGACTGTGCTTCAGAAGCTTTGTGGTACTAATGCATGTGTCAGCTTTTCACCTAAAATTTTAAGGGAATGAGTTGATTTTGAGTTCCAAAGCTAAGAAAGTTCTTTCAATGTTGTCTTAGGTTGCAACCCAGTTCAAAAACAGTCTGACGAGTCTGATAGAAATCCTGATGTCCAAGGAGCCTTCTTATGTTCGATGCATTAAACCGAATGAGAACAAGGAGCCTGGTAAGGCGTTGGGCTGAAGACACAGCTCAGATAAAGGAATAAATTGAGGGAAAGTTTAGCTTGTATCTATATCTATAAATTTTAGTTAAGCTAGCAGGAAAGTCATCACCTTGAGTAACTGTGGATTTGATTCCTTCCTTATTTGTCCCAATACATGGACAAGTGAGTGAGCTTCCACAAGCAGTATTTACCACTGAATGTGTGTTCTTACTACAGGGAAGTTTGATGATTATCTGATCCGACATCAGGTGAAATACCTGGGCCTGATGGAGCACTTGCGGGTGAGACGAGCTGGCTTCGCGTATCGGCGGAAGTATGAACTCTTCTTGCAAAGGTGAGCGGAGCTGTTTTACCCTCCAGCCAGGCAAACCTGACCTCCTGCAAGGGCTTCAGAGTAAATGTCAAGTCCCAGTGACTGCAGACGTGGCAGTGTCAGCAAACGCTCTTCTGCATCAAATATAACCTTTGTATGTGTCTCTTGTGTGTATACGTTTGGATCTGCCTTGAATAAAGCAGTAGGAATTTTGGGGGGATAGTTTCAGGAGGGCATTCCTCAAAGTCATTTGTGTTGATGTCTTGCTGATCTTTCAGGTATAAATCCCTCTGTCCAGCTACCTGGCCACACTGGCACGGGCCAGCAGCGGAGGGTGTGGAGAGGCTCATCAAGCACATTGGTTACAAGCCTGAGGAGTACAAATTAGGAAGGTAAATGCCTTTCTCTGGCTGTGATCGCTGCTGCTCAGCTGCATGGGACTTGCCATGTTTGATCCTCTGTCCTGTCTGTGACTGCAAGCCACCCTGGGAAAGCTGCAGGATGCAGTGGTGTGAACAGATCCCTTTAGGTTGGCTCTTGTTTGACCATGTCAGCTGGGCAGACCTGCCTGGGTCTGCAAATGTGATGGTTTCTGGTTAGCAACGTCTTTAAAACAGACCGAAGTAAGTTCACCCCAAGGGTGTACAATGCACAGAGCAATGGGATAAATGAAAAGCCCAGATACATAAGTTTCCTCAGTTTTCACCTTCCTATTTCCATGGAAGCTTGAATCCAGCCTAGCTTCTTCTGTCTCTAGTTTAGGGGAGGCAGGCTGCTTTTTTTCAGCTCCAGGTCTCCCTGCTCGCTTGGGCAGCCCAAGGCAACTTGCCTGTCTTAGGCTTAGGTTCTTCTTTACCTGCCTTTTGCAACCACTCCAAACCACAACGTGTTCTCCCTGCTAAAGACAAGGGCAAGACGGGACTCTCTAATGTCACCTTCAACCTATGGCTATCAGAATCCCTGAATTAATGTGTAGGATAATAGCTAAGACAAGAAAACTGGTTTTCACTGGGTTTCAGCTGCTTATCCTGAGCTCCACAGCTCCTTGGAAACTTGCAGGGACCTCAGTGTTGAGCATTACACACTGTGCAAAGGCAAAGCTCTCCACGCTGCACCTTCCAGAGTACCCAGCACCTTGTGCAATAACTGGTGTTTCATTTCCTTTCCTCTCCCAGCCACCCTTCGCCAAGTCCTTTGCACTTTTTCAGGGTGTCCCAGCTGGACAAATGAGGAGCAGTTGCAGAAGGAGATGTAACTTGTCAAAAGTACAGCTAGTGGGAGAGCTCTGACCCTGGTTAGGGCAGCTGAAATGCTGTTTCACTGTGAATAAGCTCTGTTCATCGTCTCTTTTTCCAGAACCAAAATATTCATTCGGTTCCCAAAGACTCTCTTTGCTACTGAAGATGCATTTGAATTCAGAAAGCACCTGCTAGGTATGGTTCCAGTTTCTTTTATCTGTATACGGGCTGAGAAGCAGAGCCTGGGTGAGCTGCGTTTCTGGGCTCTGGGTTCTTGCAGCAGATGCCCCATGGTGAGCACAGCTCCCGAGTGCTGTGATCCTCTGGATATGAACAATGTCTCTGTGTTTTGCTTTTGGGTTTTTTTTGGCAGTTTCAAGACTACAAGCCAAATATAAAGGACGCCTTGGGAAGAGAGAGTACAAGAAGAAGCGGGAAGCAGGTAATGGCTCTGGAATTTAGGGCTGTGCTTTCCAGCAGGAGTTGTACCTTTGGGAGGTCACAAATCCATGTTGTTGCGGATTGCACTCGCAGCTTCCTGACAGGGCTGTGGGTGTTGGGGTGAGGTGCAGGGTAGTATCGCACAGGACCTCTGCTCATACCTGATTAATTCTTGCAGCTATCAAGCTGGAGGCTTGTTGGCGAGGGGTGCTGGCACGGAAGGAGGCCAAGAAGAGGACGTGGGCGGTTCAGATAATCAGGAAGTAACTATCTCTGCGTGGTGGTCGTGGGGAGGGTTGTGGGTCACAGCCTGGGGATGGTCTCTGGACAGTGAGTCCCAAGTACTGACAGCACAGCGGGTCAAAACCACCTCCTTAACACCCATTCCTAAGCTGTCACTGTAGTTAGGAGGACAGTTACCAGAAATGCCTGTCACCCCTTCATTAATTTTCTGATGTGCACAATTTTCTGTTGCTCTGCTGGTTTATATTGGTGCAGAGGCTCTCCAAACCAATCCTTTGCCTGCTCATTCTCTTCATGGTCCTTTTTCTCTACTCCCTTAAATCCAGCTCCCAAATACTGCATCAGAAGTAGTGCTGACCTTCCTTTTTCTCTCCAAAGCACTGTGTTATGGCCAGTAAAACTTGGGAAAGTAAAGTTAATATTTGGAATATTACCAAGATTAAGATTCCAATTCCTGTAACACAGGTAACAGTGTCCCTGGGTCAGTGCTCTGTGCCTTCTGTGACTTGCCTTTGATTTCTGAACATAACGTGTAAGTCCTTTTTTTGGATATTTTCTGTAGATTCATAAATGGCTTCATCAATCGGAAGAAACCCCTTTGCCCGGAGAACATTGAGTTTGTGCGGCTCGTGCAGTACAACTACTTAATGAAGCTCAGGGACCACGTCCCAAAAAACGTCTTGGACAAGAGCTGGCTCCAACCTCCTTCCATCCTGGAAGAGGTGAGGGTTGCTGCAGGCTCTGGGAGAGGTGAAGGTGGCTTCTGTCCCGTGGTCACCTGTGTGCATGCTTCATGGAGGAGGAGAGCAGTGATCTCCTGCTGGCCCATCCTCTGTTCAGGTGTGGAGGCAGAGCCTTGGGAAGGCCCCGGCATCCTCTGTGTTTGGATGGGAGGGGAAGGAATGGTGCTGAAGTTCAAGTTTCCAAGGGATGAGAGAGATGGGGTTTGCTGCTTTTAGTAACTCCAGTAATGACTCAGCTGCTTGGTATTCTGTGTCCTTCAGCTGCTGCTGGGCATTAACCCTTAGCAAAGCCCTTTGGTGGGTGGCCCTCTGAGCTGGAGGAGCTCCAACGGAGCTGTGACCAGATGTAAAAACCACCTTGCACCAGACACATGCTTTAGGACTGCAGCAGGAGCTGTTTGAACACTTCACTAGTGGTTTTTTGCCTTTATTTTTTTTAATGCAGACATCTGAGAAGCTACAGAAGATCTGCATTAGGAACCTAGTAAGGAAGTACTGCCGAGGTGTTACTGCTGAGAGGAAAGCACAAGTGAGTAATACGTGGAATGCAAATGTGCGAGTTAAAAGATACCGTGCATGTGTGATAGCTGCTCTCTGTGTACTGCCTGAGACACAAACTGCACCTTCTGGCACCACTGCTCCTGCTGAGCAAACGTTCCTGAGCCTGGAGTCGGGTGTTTTTCAGTGGCCCCCTACAGACACACAGGGTCTTAATCTCATGACATTGAAACCACACTTCTTCTAATGAGGATAGATTGATAAATAAGAATAGATCTGTAGGACTGTTTAGTGCCTGCTACCCCTTTGTTTGAGGTGATACAGGAATAGCCTAACAATGTTGGAAGAAAGGCAGCACGAGCTAAAGGATGATGTGGTGCAGTAACGATGCCCACGTTGTATCTGCTGATGTTACTGAGGGAGAAACCCCAGGAGGATAAAGGCTGTTCCTTCTCCAAACAGTTACAGCAAAAAGTGGTAACAAGCGCCGTTTTCAGAGGGAAGAAGGAGGGCTACCTGCAGAGCCTGAACCAGCCCTTCTTGGACACCCGACTCAGTGAGTACAGCACAAACCCCTGAAGGACTCGTCCGCATGCTCCTTGCTCTGGGAAATTCTGTTTGCAAGACAGATTATGTTTCTGTTTTAAGAGAAATTCCCATCTGAGAGGGGCAGCATTTCCTGCTGCAATTGGGCCCTGCCATTTCAGTCCCTTCCTCTGTTATGTCTGGTGGCACTGAACTGATTAATCTGTCAGGCTTTGCTCTCAAACTGGGGGTACCTGGAATCCCTCTTGGGACACAACCATAAACCCAGAGCCTGAACCAAGAACAGACCCAAAACCAGCCAATAACTCCCAGTGTGAATTACTTGTCGGGCAGGAAAAAACAATCACTGCAGTGGGTTTAGGAGTAGCTGGAAGTGAACACCCTGAGATTAGAGGGGTGTGTACCAAGGGGACAAGGCCATGGGATGAGGACAGTTAATGCAGCTCTCTGGTGTTTTGGTGGTGGGAGTGGTGGCCGTCTGTCACCAACACTCAGTTTGTCTTTCTGGTTTGCTCCTCAGAAGAGAGTGATATCAACCCCAAAGTGTTGCAGCTCATCCAAGGTGAGAAGATCAAGGTAAGGCCTCAGACCATCTGTGTTGGAGTCCTGGAGCTGTCGGTCACACAGACTGGGCAATCCAGGACGCCTGAGGCTCTTGCAGCCTTGCCTATGTGATAGGGAAGAGAATTTGAGTATTTCCTTGCTTTTAAATTGGAGACAAGTCTCAAAATGCACCTAGACAAAAATTATTTAGGATTGATGTTAAGAAAAGCTTAAAAAGCATCCCTGACCCTGTTTGGGCAGAAGTGTGTGTGCTGCACTTCCCATGGTTCTGGCATAGAGGGCACAGGTAAACCATCTCTCGAAGCTGAATTTCCATGTATAAAGAAACCGGATGATGATGAGCAGAGGTTGGCAGCGGCTGCTGTGAGCTGGGCTCTCGGTGCTGCTCCTCGCTGAGCTGCTTCAAGCGCCAGACCCTGTGGGAGCGAGAGATGCTGATACCACCTCGTTGTTTTCAGTATGTGACCCCCGTGGTAAAATATGACAGGAACGGGTTCAAAGCACGAGACCGGCTGCTCGTTCTGACCCAGTCCTCGGCGTACGTGGTGGAAATGGCCAAGATCAAGCAGAAAATCGACTACACCACTCTGAAAGGTAACGGTGGAGGCGAGTGTGGGGCTTCCCTTTCTGCCAGAGACCTTGGGGGTGGGAAGATGAAATGTTGGTCTTTCAAAGATATTTGAAGTGCTGATCTATGTGACAACACTTTTTCCTGGGGGGGGTGGATAAAGGGTCTGTGTGTCAGCATGCAGCTCCTTGAGGTATAAATTATGAGCAAGAGGACAGAGTTCCCTGAAATACTTAAATTCAAGAGGACATCGCTTTCTACTGAAACAGAGGGGAGAAGAAAAAAAACCCTAACGCTTCCCTACCCCATTTTGTAAGTGTTTTTAATCCTGCCATGGTCTGAACAACAGTCCAGGGGTAGAATACATACTTCCTCCCTCCTCCTTCACCAAAATAAAGGTAGCATGGAAAGGTATGGAGCAAACAATTAATGCTTCATGTTGAAATGTTAGAAATGTGTGGTGGACCAGTGGGTGATGGAGCAAGTGATCTTCAGAAGGTGTTTTGAAGCCTGGGAAGGTGATGGTGGTGTGGTGGGACTCTAATTTTTGGCTTCCTTTTGAAGGTATCTCCACCAGCAACCTGAGCGATGGGATTGTAGTGATTCATGTTCCTGAGGACAACAAACAGAAGGTAGAAAATTGTAATGGAGCTACCGTGAGCTTGGGGTTAGAAGCAAGGTCTTGTAGGTGACACTTGCGATACTCTCCTGTGAAATACTGGGATTACACAGCAGTTACTAATTCTGCAATCAGCCAGACCCTTATGCCCTTGCTGTCTCACCATGAAAGCTTTCACTTTCCTTTCTTTAGAGCCAAATTTGCTGTAAATCCTAAATAGCCCCTGGAAAGGATGTTTTGAACAAAGCTAATTTGCAGTTGTGGGTCACTGCTGCACAGCAGTCACTACACCGGTGTCAGGAGGGGTTTTCTCTGCTGCCTGGGTTATGCGCTGGGTGACACCGGGTGACTTCATGCTGCTTTTTTTCCCCTGTTTGTTTCCAGGGAGATGTGATACTTCAGTGTGAGCACGTCTTTGAGACGGTCACTAAACTCTGCATGCTGGCCAATAAGCAAAACCTCGTTAAAGTCGTGAAGGGAAGGTAAGGAAGCTGAGTACTGTGCAGGCTGTATTTTATAGCAGAACCTGCTTCAAACACTTGTAGGCCTGCAGTACCTTGGTCAAAACTCTTAGCATCACCCCAGCAGACGGTGCCCTAAGCTGATCAGCTCTGTCACAGCAGCACGGTGGTTTTCATGGCTTCCTTCCATAGGCACAGGGGAAACAAGATGGGATGCACGGGAGCAAGAAAATACATGGGAAGTCCTCACAACCTATTTCCCATGCTAACAAATCCTGCTCCTGTTGTGGTCGCACCTTGCTAAGTGCACTGCTGTGCTCTGAGAGCTGCCCGTGACCCATCTGCCTAAAACCCAAACTAGTTTATAGGTGACTGTACTTTAAAAATGCCTTTTTCAGGCTTCTGCTGATGTGACCTGGGCGTGAGGTTGCGGGTTTAGTGGATTCACACCAGATCGCATCAGCAGCAGCTCTGAGGAAAGCCTGTGGGTCACGTCAGGATAAACGCTCCTCTCACCTAAAAGACTGAGAAGGCTCTGAAATGTGATTGCTGAGCCCAGGAGCCGCCTTGGTCACAGCACCAAGCTAACGGCAGGTGGATGCAGTCTGTCTCTCAAATCTCTCCGTGAATTGAACGTGGCACATGAAACACGTGCTTCTGCTCCAGCTTTTCTCTCTGGCCTTTGCGTTTCAGCTGTAATTAGATCTGGTGTGTTCAGTGGTTTTCTCCAGGTCAGATCTGCTTATCTTCTAGTGCTTAATTGCGGCAGGAAAACTCAAATGCCTGGCCCAGGCAGGCTCCATTCATCAAACCCTTCCTCGTTGTGCACTATAATGCAATTGTTTAGGAAATTTACCTAAGCTGGAGGGCTCTGATCTTCTAATCTAACGAGATTTGCCAAGGGAACAGAAATAAAGGGGGCTTAGAGTAAAGCCTATTGCGAAGAAAGCATCTGATGAGTAATTCTGTATTTGCAGCCTTCAGTTTCGCATTGGCTCTGGGAAAGAAGGCACGATGGTGTTTGCTGTCGGGCAGGAGCCGCAGGTCTTCAAAGCCAAAACTGGACAGCTGACAGTGGTAAGGGCTCCTCTGAGCACCAGGAACAGGACAGGTGCTTTCTCCTCTGCTCCACCAGTGAGGTGCAATACCCTCGGGCACTGCTGCACTGTCCTTGCGGTGCGGAGATGGAGCGAGTTGTCTTTCTCTGCCAGTTGCCAAACAGAACCAAGACAACCTCTCTTCCCACTGCCAGACACCTCACGGACACAACATTCGTACTCGATTTAACAACCCCGTCCTTTTCTCATCCCAGGTATCAACCCAGTCTTGATGAGCAGCAGTTCCTGGTCCTGGTCCCCGTCTTGGCTGGGAACAGAAAGGAGCCTGCAGGATGAGACCAGCCCTCACCTCTCCCCTGGAGTCATTGATGCCATAGGGCTGCTGTGATTTGAGAGTTTGCTTGCGTCTTTTAGGCTCTTTTTTTATAGCTTAAAACTATTCAACTATAGCTAAATAAATTCCATTACGTTGCTGTAACATCCCAGTGAGCACAGATGCTCATTACACAGTCACAGGGAAACGTTCAACCCAAAAGCTGCAGTTCACAGGTAAAATGTCTGTCTGTGTGCACTCAAAGAGCTGAGAGCTCTGACCAGTCAGGAAGGATTAAGACTGAAGCAGGAAGGTTTCTCTGCCTGTACTCTGAGCTGCTACTCGCCAGGAGCACTGCATCAGGTGCAGTTAACTCTGGTCTGAAAACACCTTTCCTTTCAGGCAGATTGGCAAAGCCTTTAAAACCAGCAGCCTTTAAAACCAGGGGGAGAGATGGTTAAATGGGGCAGCAGGGCTGGTGCAGCTGCTCTTGGTGCATCAGCACACAGAGCTGCTCGTCTGGAAATCTCAGCTGCTGAGGGAAGATCTCTGCTTTTAGAGCAGCACTGTCCTGGTTCTCCCTGCGCAGCAGAGGATGCAAAACCATAAAAGTTGACCAAAACACCTCCTCTGAACAGAGGGAGGTGCTGGCTTGGGGCAATCCAGCTCGGAGGAAACCACTCTCCTGCTGCTTTAGAACCTTCACCTCTCCCACGAGCAGGGCAGGCAGCTCTGGTCCCTCGAGGTGCACTGGGGTGGGGGGTGGAGGACAGGAGTCCCCTCTGCTCCCTGCAGCCGTGGGGTCGGTCTCTGTTCACAGCTCTTACCCTGCTGCCTCACGTTGAGGCAAACTTGCACAGCTCTGGCTCCGCTTTGCTTTGGCCAGGCTGAAAATGGAACCTGGAGGTCCTTGATTTGCTGCCTTTAAATCCTGGGGTCTGCAGAGTCCTGAGAGCCACATGGCTGGTGGTAAAACCAACACCCAGGGGGAGGGTGATGTCTGGTGTTTCCTCCTCAAAGCTCCTTCCAGCTCCGTGGACCACGTGGACAGCATGCTTCAAACAAGTAATAAAGCGACTCGCATGTAAATAGGAAATATCTTCTAATTTATTGTGTTATATTAAAAAAAAAAGTACATATTGCAAACATCAACCATACACTGAAATCCAGCTTAAGCTTTTTTTGTGCATAAGGACAAAGTGGGAGGGAATGATTGTACAGAACGGATGAATTTGCTGCTCTCGCCTGCAAAACGAACGACTCCACAAAGACTGGAAGGTTCGACCTCCCCTTCCCTCCAAGGTAAGAGTGGAGCTTGGAGCCTTCCCCAGGGGCTCTGACCTGGTGCTGTCCCACTCCAAGCGGAGCTCGGGGTGAGATCCAAACCTGCCTTGGGGAAATACAGGAGCAGCTGCTCTGGTGCTGCAGCTCCACGGTGTAGGTGGGAGTAAAGACCCCTTTAACTCGGGGGTGGTGGTCACTGCCTCTGCTGTGCAGCCCTCACTGCATTACTGATCGCAGTCCAGCTTTTCTGCGTGATGCTGATGGACAAAATCGCTTACACAGGTAAGATTTCGGTCGCTATTGGTGTGTGGGGTGCTGGAGAATCAAAGCAGACAGCTCTGCACTCCCCGTTAATACGAGGTGGTACCAGGTAACCTAAAGAGCTGCTTGCACCCGGACCAGCTGCTCCGTCCCCTTCTCTTCACCTGGAGAAGCAAAACCATTTACAGTAAAAAGGCTCAAGAGCTGAGAGCATTTGTGCAATGGCATTAACAAAGGCTCTCTGCAGAGCAAGGGCGAGGGGGCGCTGGGTGAAGGACGGACGTTGTAACGCGACAGCAGCACAGCTTCACTACACGGCTACAACACGCAGAGGGGTGGGCAGGGCTGTGTTACGGCAGAGTCTGCCCAGAAACGCGGTAACAAAACTGAAACTTAACTCTGACTCTCCTGGAGTGACTTCCTAACCCAAGAGCTACGTAAACTGCTGTACAAAGATTAAAAACAACCCTCCCCTGGTCTTTAAGAACTTAGTTTGCAAAACCTGAAAGAGGAAATCCTGAAGCCACTTAAGAATCTATTTACAGAGAAGTTAATCACGGGGCTGTGATCTGCCAGGTGCTCGGCACTGGTGTCACACGTGGCACCTCCTGAGCTGACCCCGCTCTCGCAGCACAGGACCTGACTGGATTTCCTTAGAGCGGATGGTGCTGGGTCACTGGAGTGTCCCCTGTGTGGCACAGGGGGACAGGGAGCTCAGCACAGCTGAGGACGAGGATGATGATGGCCCGTCCCTCCTGTGGCACAGGACAGAGCCAGCTCTAGCGGTAATGAAGCGTGGAGGGTTTGCTGCAGGACTATGGGATGGCCACAGGAGCGCAGCGGGACGTGGGAGTGAGACCGAACGGCTTTACACAGCGCAGAGTCCAGGCCCCTTCAAGGGCAACAGCTCTGTTAGAGACTCAGAAACCCATAAACAGCCCAGTAAGTGTCAAAGTACACGGTGCTGGAGAAACGGGGCAATTCAGAGGACTGCCCGTCCTCGCTCCCCAGCTTATCGCACACGGAAGGTAAGAAGGGAGAGGCGCAGGGTCCTTCACAACAACAATCTGCACTATGGACTTCCACAACCCCCAGGTGAGTCACAAACACCAAGTACAGCTCGAAACTGAAGCCTGTCACTGTCAGGACGTGGCTGAAGCCGCTGAACTAGGGTACAACTGATGCATCGCTTTACTGTTGAGCTCTTAAAAATCGGCAGCTGAAGAAGAAAGAGTAGAGGAGATGGGTACAACAACTTAGAGACAGCAGCTGCCTGTAACTGAGAAAAGTCTTTGGTTACCAGAAAGATGACCTCAGCCTAACTTCAAAATCTTCTTAGCTTTATGTGATGACCCAAAATTGTTCCACTGACAAACACTTGATGCCTTATTTTAGCCTCCACAGCCAAGCTAGACCTAGCTTGGGATGTAACTGCTATTAGACATAGAAGCACTGGTGTGACACAGCTGGTGATGCCGACAACACCTTTGGTTTTTAAAGTGTTAACGTGCCATTAAGAGCCCTGAGCCAGGAGGAGGAAACCTTGCAGCAGCAAGTTGGGCAAAACCAAATAACCACCTCAGCAGCAGGAACACAGAGCTGCTCCTCTGTGTGAGGTACCTGGCCGCTAAGGCCAGCGCCAGATATTCCAGACGAAGGGTCAAAAACCCCTCTAGAATAGGCCAAAGCACTCTGGTGTCTGCCACGGTGCCAACCTGATCACAAGTTTCAGACTTCCTACCTCAGGTTTCTCTCCCCCTTGAGCTTTGTTACATTAACATCACGGCTGCGGCTCTGCTTGTTACCTCAGCATCCAGTCCTATTGAATAACACACGACTGACACTGTCACTGGACTCCACACCAGGCAACAAGAGACGAGGAGGTAGATAAAATATTCATCTCTAACAGAAAAGCACTCTCGGAAAACCAGACTGCGTAGGCCTTCTCTACACAACGCTTCAGCTCTGCCCTTTCACACGCAGCTGCCATTTCTGAAAAGACTTGGAATACGCTCAGGGTAAAGTCAAACAAGGACCAACGGCCCCTGGGCCACCGCCTGCTCCTCTTCCCCATGGCAACTGGCTCAGAGCGAGCCAATGCTCCTGTATCGGTTACAGACCTGAACCGCGGCCGCTGCTCCCCCTGCGCTAGGCTGCGGGGTTTGAACCCACGATGATCCCTGCGTTACCCGCAGTAACGCCCGGCTTTCTGGGAAGGGGGGAAACTCCACAGCTGAGACCCAGCGTCAGGCAGACGTTCTGGCAGCAACACTACCCTAAGGGAAGGCAATCACATACAATTTGCTCCCCATCCTCCTTCTGGAGGAACTTTAACACTGTCCACCCTTGAACTGCACAGCTAAAGCAGGGGGGGGTCTCCACCATCCAGAGCTGTAGAAGCTCCACTGAACCCTTCAAGGAGCAGGGCCCGAGAGCTGCAGGGAGCCACCCGAAAAGCCAAGCCCAAGCAGCAAGCCCTGCTCTCTCCCACGTCTCTGAGAAGGCACCCTCTGCTCCCCAGCACTACAGGAATGGAGTCAGCACAGGTCATTTGTGTCATCTGCCCTTCGTGTCCTGCTGGCAGTCACACCAAGGTGCTCCCGAGCTACCAACCCTACTGCCTCCAGGCCTGGGAAAGAGGGAGCCCTGGTTCAGATCACCTCAATTCTCCCATGCCTGGACAGCCTGGAGGAGACGGGGCCAGGAGTGCCTGGAGGGAAGGTACAGGGCTGACTCACCTTTGTCTGTTTGTTTTGTTTTTTAAAGTGCAGGAGAATTACTAAAGCCAAGGGAAGTCAGCCCTCTTCCTCTCTAGCCACAAAACAGCAAAGACAGGAGTGCTAAAAATTCAGGGCATTTCTCCAGATGCTCAACAGGTCCTTACAGTATCCATCGCATGCCCAGTAACCTTATTTATTCTCGTCCTAAAACTACCGCATTTAAATACCCCAAATAATCGAGTTTGTTACGAAACGTGATGTACAGACTTTGTTGGACAGAAGTCAAAGCGCCTGGGCCTCTGCTGCAGACGAATGGCTCGGACGGAGGGCAGCGCCGTCGCCCGGAGCTGCGCAGTCTGCGGCTGCCGCTCGGCTCACTGGTGCAGATGGGCCCGGTCATCCGGACGTTTAATGTGGATTCTTCGCACGCGTTCGATGCGGTCTCGCTCCTCATCCTCATCCAAGTGATGGGAGCGGCCGGCTGCCCCTCCTGTGGCTTCCAGCAGCGCGTTGTCGGGTCCCCTCCCGTCCTGGGACTCGTACAGCAGAATGTTCAGCGTCTCCTCGTAAATGCGGGCTTCGGGGAACTCCACCTGCACACCCAAGACAGAGAAGGTCGCTCACCCCCTGCCCGTCACTGCAGGAGCCAGGTTACCTCCTTTTGAATTCTCCAATACCTTTCTAGTTTTAACCTTTCTTAATTGCCTTCCTAGCACAAGCGTTTCTGTTCTGTTATCTGCTTTCAGCTTTAGAGACCCAGCAACCAGGCTGGGTTTTTCCAGAACTGGCCTGCCCGCAGGGCAGACTCAGAGTTCTCCTGGGAAAGGTAAGAAGGCAGAGGGAAGGCACACCATTGCTCACCAGGACCCGTCTTTGCACAAGGAGGTACAGCAAACTCTGTTAAATGAGCAAATTTGCCTAAAGATACAGAACTGGACTGAACTTGCAGCATGGAATAGCACAAGTGCACTGTGTTAAGTGCCACAGCCCAGCAGTCCCCCCCCAATGAAGCCACAGGAGAAGCTCCACTGTGCTGCTCCCACTTTGAATGGCACTGATTATTGTATAGAGATGCTAAACAATGAAAGGGGCGTCCAAAACACAACAGATGTCAGGACGCCAGGCTGTTGCTGGGAGCATTGGGGGGTTTTCTCCTACCTTTGTCTGTTTTTTCTCAGTAGCATAAACAATGGAGGTGCAGCAGACTTCGGCGATCTTCCTCCCCTGCCCGTAAAAGGACCAGCAGCAGATCTCATCGCCAATCACATCTTTTATAAAGAGCACTCTGCCATTAAACCTCAGGGACAGCTTATCAAACAGCTCGATGTTCTTCAGCATGTTGTCGTCGGAGTTGCTGTGAGAGACGAAGGAAGGGAGCGGTCACGGTCACCTTAGGGTCATTAAGGCAGCACCCAGAATAGATGGGGGGTTCTGGCAATGCATTGACAGGCCTGTACACGCCGTTTCCTTTGACTTATGTGTCTCTACCAAGGCAATGTTCACAGCTGGGATGCAGGACTGCAGTGGATAACTCCCTTAACCAGTACAAGCAGGAAAACCTGCTGCGGAAGCACAGTACTGGGAATAATCCTGTCCAAGGCCAGTTCATTTGGGTACAAAATTCTAGCAAGCACCCACATGAAACCACTCCTAAGCTCAAGCTCAGCACTGACTGGATGGAAACAGCGTTATGTCATGAAACAGATACAGGGTCCCAGATTTGAGTATTTTACCACTTTTTGGGAACACTGCACCACAGAAGGCTTCCTGTATGCAACTAATGTGCCAGTTGGCCAGGAGTCTCTGCCAGCTGCACCAAAGTATGAGAGGAACTGCTCTGGCACAGAAACAGCGCACGCTCAGCCTTCCATTGATGACAGTAGGCTCCCTTCTGAGTCAAGTTTGAAATTAATTGGGGAAAAAACTGAGTGCAGGCCAACACCAATCTGTCATTGGGTTCTGTGTGAAGAAAAAGCAGCTGCTTATCGTGGATTTTAGTCTGTGAAAAACATCAAAGAGGTCCCGCTGAAGACATTTACCTGGTGTAGGAATATTTGTTGTTGCTCCTGTTATACAGCAACTTCACCGCTGGCTGTAAAAAACAAAGGACAGATCAGTTACAGGAAGTGCAGCAAGAGCTGGAATCTCAGCTCAGTCCCAGGCCCCACAGCACAGAGGCTGCAATGCGAGATGGCACCATCAGGCCCAAGCCCAGTGGGATTTCGTTGCTGTTGCTGCAAAACTGTCAGGCAGGGGTTGGGAACACGGCTGCAGCCCCTTCTGACCCCTTCTGTGACCACACCATTGCCTGTCCTCACTCGCCTCTGCCTTTTCGCTGAGGCTAAACATTATCCCCAGCAGCCTCCCCGCTACCTCTCTCAGAAACAGGAGTCATGGATTCACTTCGGCTAAAAAAATGTCTGTGGTTAATAACCAGAGTGGACAAAGAAATGGAAGATCTGATAGCCCCAAGGATCTGCTCGTCCAGCCTGCTACTGCCTACGTGCCCTCAGTTTTAATACCTTACGTGGAGAAAGCTGGGGGGAAGTGTTGATCTGCTAGAA